TGAAGTATTTCAGAGTGTAAATTAAAAATATATGCTGTAAAGCATACACTGTTCTTGTCATTCCAGTTTGTGAGCTGTACATATGGGAGTATGTAAAAACTAGTGTGTGTGCTGTGCAGGGATCTGGATGGATAATAAAACAGCTGCCTCATAGATTCCATCTGCTTTCTATACTGGATCTTTTTAGGTACCGTGCATTTTTCAGTGTTGTTATTTTTTTTTTTTTTTTTTGTATGGAGTGTTCAGTTGAGGAGTTGAGGTCCAGCATATTCTTCCAATGTCAGCACTTCAGATCCTTTGCAGCAGGATGTGTTTGAGCATGGGCACTGAGGACAGTGCATCTCTCTCCCATGGCAGATTGTCTATAGAACGTACCAGCGGTTTGTAAACCAGTCCTGCATTTCTTAAGGAAGTGAGATATTCATGTAGAAAAGCTTTGCTTTGGAAATTACTAGAAAATCCCCTCACTACTAATTCAGAAAGAGAAACACTTCCTTCTCTATATCCTAACAAACCAGTTGTCATCTATTTTTGTTTTCTTTATGCATTTTTTTCTAGTTGCACTTGTTGCTGCATATGAAATAGCACCTCTAATTTACTCATAAGGCTCTGTTTTGAATACGGGTTTAAAAAAAATTTCAACAGACACCCACAATTAGTTTGAGATAATATTCTGCTTACGACCTGTTATCTCACAGACCAAAAATGATCTTTTTGTAATGTTTTCTGTAGTAAAAAAAAAAAACCTAAATAGCTGTATTGTGAAAGCTCCTTGGATATATAATAGCTACTTTATGAGATGTGGGATCTATAATTTTTAAATAGAATTTTTACAGTGTAAAAGTGAATGTAAGAGTTTTCTTCCTCCAGCGTCTCATACCTTAAAATCACTTGTCTGATAATTAGTAAAACAGTAGCAGATCTGCAGTCATAAAATATGCTTTCTGCAAATTTTCTGTCTTGTTGTTTCAGTAGTATTTAGAACAGTACAATTACAAAAATATCTAGAGTAAAAAGGCATGCTGGTAAACAGCTATTGGTAAGAAAGTGCTAATTTAGACATTTCTCCCCTTCGTAGAAAAAAACTATAGTATATACATTTAGGAAGATACCTAGAATAGCAATTTAGCAGCTTTTAGCAATGTAGCCGTGTGCTGTTTTGTGCCCGTTGGTCCTTACAGCACAGGTAATTAAGTTGATATTCCAACACAACTTCCCCTACTGACCTTTTAGAAACAATGTGTTTTGCTGCATTAACAAATTAACTTCAAATCAGTGGCTTTTCCAGTAAATATGGTCTTCATATAGTTTTAATATACTTGCTTATCCCCTTCCGGTGACAGATAGTAACATCAACATTAAAAATGAAGCTCTGGTAAAGGGCAAATACCTGTTATCTCCTGGTGGGCCTCCCCGTCAGTTCCTCCTCACTGCCCTGCGCTTCACAACACTCTGTTCAGCCACAGTTTCCCCGTCTGTATTTAATGGAGAGAACAGGCTGCTGTGAATGTGTGCTTTGGTGTTTGTTGCCATCCCGTTGGGATCTCTTCAGGGTCCACAAGGATGGGGTGCAATGCATACAGGACCTCAAAGTGAACTCTGTTTCTGGTAGCGCTTGAACGATAAGAGAAATATGAGTCTGAGTGTTGGATGTGACTGTGTTGTTGAGGTCACAGTTCTGAGAGTTAACAGGATGCCTATTTAAAAATCCAAAAGATGCAAAAGTTTTTACACCTTTAATCTTTTCCCAAAGCAGCATTTGTATGTGTCTTTATTGTGGAAACACAAAGAATTATTTTTTGATCGGAGATGAAAGCTTGATCATATAAGATATTTAAATCTCAGCTGGAAAAAATAATCGAGTGACAGGATAAGGATATGAAAGTATTAGCTCCTGCAAAGGAGTATTTATTGTTACTGACTAGATCTGCCTGTAACCATCACCCAAAGAAAACTCCTGTTTGATCAGCAGCATCAGGAAGTGGCTGATAGAGGCCCTTTGTGTACCAATGCCAAGGGCCTGGGTGTTCTCCTGCTTTGCCAGACCCCTTGCTTCCCTCCAGTGTTTGTAGGTAACTCAGTCACCATGTCCAGTTCAGTATTAACCCTACCCCCCCTAGTCCTGGGTTGGGGACCCCTTGGTGTCCTTCAGCCGGATGGATGGGTACAAGGAGCTGCCTCGCAAGAGTGAAATATCAGTGCTGGGGGGTTGGCTGCAGGCAGGGAGTAGGCAGTGATGGCAGTGCTATTGCACTCCTCGGCCTGGTACTGGCATGTCTGGTGCTCTCACCCTCTTGTGCACTCTCAGACTGTGGATGGATATTTTCCACTTCACATTGGGAATTCACTGGAGAAGGGTACCGATATTAGTGAATCTTTTAACACAAAGTGTAGTTTTCAGATACCCCCAAATACTTAAAACTTGATTTTATTGTTGTTGTCTAATCAAACAGTGATGTGGCAGATAATTAACAAATCCCACCACACATTTTCTCAGAAAAATATGTTTCCTCCAGCGAGTACGTGGGTGGGTGAGTAACAATCAGTTGTGCGTGTCCTTGCAGTGACTATAATCAATGTATTGACCATCTTGCCAGGAGCTAATCCACAGCTACTGTGGTGTCCCTCCGTCTTGCTCTCCGAAGGGCCTGTCTTTGTCACATTTTTTTCAGAAGCTTTAATAATGCTACCATTGACTCATCAGCTACTGCTGGTGATTCTACAGTCTTGCCGTGTTCCTCAAAAATTATCCTGCTATAGAAAGGAAAAACTGATTCCCAAATGGAAGCTTCCATGGCTGTGGCATGGTGTTTGGAACAAAAAACCATATTCAGCGATAGGTTACTAATACTGAAGAAATTATAACATCAACATGTTAAGTAACACCTTGTAAATCTTGTATCAATAAAAACCTATTTGTCCAGAATTAAAATGCTAATGGAAAATAAGTAGTGTTCAAGACACCACTAGCCATGGCTTTAGGAAAATTTCCCACCTAAACAACCTACTTGAGAATTTTCTAATGTAGAAATGTTCACAATTTCTAGGTAAGTAAAAGAGAAGAAATAACGAAGTATTTATGCAGGAGGCATAAAAAAATAGAAAAAGTATATGAATGATAATTACATCTTGTTTTTCTGCTTCATCAAATGCTTTGCCTAAGTTGCTAGGTAGTAAGTGAATGTCTTTTAAGTAACTAGAAAAGTGCAAATTTTAGATTTTTCAGCTGTTCCATTATGCTTCTGAAACATAATGGAAAATAAGTATGCTGTGTCACATAACAGAAGTTAAATATATTTTAAGATTGTGCTGTCAGGCTGAGCGGATAAGATGGGCAGATACACAGCAGCATAACTCAGCTTCTGTCACCCAATCGGGTACTATCGGGGACAGAGGAGAAACAGCTCGGTGGGGCTAACGGCAGCCACCTCAGCTCGCCACCCTGTCATTTCTCTCTTTGTTCTCTTTGTTTTATGCTTGCTTTCTTGGAAAATACAGAGGGAAGCTATCACATGGAATAATTCTGGCCTCAGCTCTCCATCCCAAGTGTCCTTTTTTTTTTCCCTCACCCACCCCAAAAAGCCGAGCCAAGTCCATGTGTGCAGTCTGGCACTCCTTCGTTGGGAACACGAGTAAGGAGGTGGGAACCAATGGATGCAAAAATGTAATTTAATGGGAAATTTCAAAGAAAAGTCTGAAGAGATGCAAGAAGAGAATGAAAATGGTTTGAAAAAGGGTAGGCTGGAGTTGTACTATTACCCAGTGTGAGGGTAGAGAGAGGATGCCTGTCAATCTAGAATAAAGGCTCTGCTAGTAAGAGGTTGAGGACTGCTGAGGTATGAATCTGGAATCTTTTTTGGAGAGAAATACAGTAATATGCATGAGCTTTCTGTCTGGAGAAGCTGACTCCCACTGCCAGTTCCTGCTCCTTCTCCGTGCAGCGGAGGGGGTTTGTGTCTGGGAGGGCCCGTGGGCTGCGGCAGCGGGTGCAGGAGGCGGCCGGTCGTTCCCCTGTACTCCCCAGCAAGGGCTCTGCTTCTCCTTGAAGTGCTAATGTGGGTACACAAGCTGCCATGGAAAGGACATTAACTTTAATCTTGTTCTCAATATCAGAGTTGTACTTAGGATGGTTTTATTTAGAATCTCGTTAATTGTCAGTGGATTTCTTGTCTAACAGACTATACCTTAAGATGCCATCTGTGTGAGGAGAGTCGTGCTGCTGGCTCAGTCAAAAGCAACTGGATTGGAATAGCTCCAGTGCTGTTACAAAGCAATGAGTTGGCCAACTGCTAATTTAAAAAATGAGGTACAGAAATAGGCATCTCAGTGCACTGTTGTGTCTTTATTAGAACTGTTGGTGATGGGGCTGTTAGTTTTCTTTATGATGACAGCACACACTTTGCTCTAGGCAGTGCATTTAAACCTTGAGCCCGTACAGTATCTAACCATGTGCTTATCTTTAACTGTATGGAAAGTTTAATTGACTTAGAGGGGTTTTTTTCCTATACTCTTAAAATGGCTTTACTGATTCGAGGCCTTTACTGTAAGTTTTTACAAGCGCTAAAATCACTCAAGATTTTAGTAAAAGCTTTTTTGAATATCCTGCTTTGCAGGATTCTTTGTGTTTGCATAAATGTTGTCTAGAACACTTGGACCTAGAGGCCCAGGAATCCACTTTCAGCATCTTTACTGTCTCAGTAAATGTTGGATGGTCTGGTCAGGAGTGCTGATCCTGCTGCCTTTGGTTTGACATAGCCTTGTTAAGCCCACGTGAACGGGCAGGTGTAGCGACCTCGCCTGTCGTGGCACTTTGTAGGTGATGAGATTTGTCACTGTTTTGGGAGGGGAAAACAAGAAAAGAAAAGAAAAATTGCGTTTTGTGAGGTGAGTATGATGTTAAGGTAAATCACATACTGTCTTCCACTCATACTGCTTTTGCCACAAAATCAGAGGTGTTTTCGTGTAGGTGACTATTTAATTTAGTTTCCACTTTGATACAGCAGCAAAGACTCCGTCCGCCGCGGCCACCGCCTCCAAAGATACAGCGTTCATCTAGGCCCGTGAGTAGTTGGTGGTTTTGTTCACTGCCACAGCTTAACACTGCCTGAATGACGCACTCAGTAGCATTACTAAACCTCGGTAGTGTGGATTGTCAAACTTTGCAAAAAAGCAATGTGTGAATTATGCTCCTAAACTCCCTTCTTCTCTGCTGCGGCACAGCCCTGGGACCTGCATTTGTTCTGCTTTTCTTTGACGAGTTCTGCAGCTTTCGGTCAGTTCTGCAGGTAACTGATGCTGCTGTTGCAACAGTTGTTTTTACTTTTGCGGTGATTTCTTAAACAAAAATCTTGCTAGGCTGGCATAAGTTTTTAGCCAGTGAGCTTTTGAAGACTTGCACTAAACTCAAATACAAAAGGAAGCAGAAGTTTGAGGAGAAAGTATTTATTCTCTGCAAGTTATGCTTTAAATTAATTTGGGACGCTTAATTTTTCTCCATGGAATGGATGAGTGAGTACACATGAAGAAAGGGAAGTCTATATTTGGGTGGTAGAACATTAGTACCACATTATGGATGATATACATATATACTTTATGTTCTTTTAAAATGTGAGCTGGGACTCTATGTAATTACATCGTATAAAAAATGTCGGCACAGCATGTTGGCCAGAGGAAGTGACTCTTCCATAGGAGAACTACACAGAAATTATTCTCGGTGCGATACCTGGACCGCATTAGGCAGGGATGCCTTATCTCAGCAGTTTTGCGTTCAAAACAGTAACTGTAGGACAATTGTTAGATATTAACAATGCCAGATGGCTTTAAAATTGGAGACTGTGCTGGATCTGCACAGGTGATTTTATTTTTTCAGTAGTACAGGAAAATGGTATTGGCTTAGAGGGGGTGTTGTTTTTTGCAACAGCCTTGGAAGATATTTATTTGTATTCAGGACTTTTGCTTTATGAATGTAATTCCTCCAAAAGGCAAATAGATCTTACTCCTTGCTTCCTTATACATACATGTACGTGCATAAGAAAGAGAAAGATGCAAGTTTTCAAATCTAATCTTGCTAAAACTTGTTAAAAGTATGTTTCGGATGAGCAGGCAACTGGTTAACAAGTGCACTTGGGTGTGTGTTAACTCCTGATCTCTGGTGCATGTTCCTGTGGTACGTTTCAATAGCATGTGTTTCTTTTCCTCCTCTAACTCTGGGTGTTTAGCTTAACAGAGCCATTTTTATGGATTCCTGCTCTGAAGATTTCTGTTGTCTGTGTTTAAAAGGTAGCATTGGCTATGCTAATATGTGTTCTCTTAAATGTAATTGATGTGGGGGACCCTCCCAGGTACATTCCAGTAGGAATGAACTTTCCGTGGTGCTCTGGGGTTCCCCCAGTGCGTCACAGCCCCCTCGGTGTGTGTGTGGCAGGTGTGTGAGGGCACAGTGAGATTCCTCCCTACAAAAGTTGCTAAACAGCAATGTTCAGATTGAGTAATTCATTACATCAAAGTCTTGCTAAGCCTGTTTAATCTCCCAGCTGTAGTGCATTAATAGTCCTCACTGTAATGTGTTTGTGTCAACTGTCTTTGCTCCCAATGTGATTGATAAAAGGTTGGAAATGTAATAATAAAAGCTCCTGTTGCATTCATCTGGCTGTGTCAGTAAGTGGAACAGAAATGCTTCATTCATCAAGAGGAAATTCAAGATAAATGTAAATGATTATAATCACTCCCCAAAATATGCTTGTACCAAATATACATAAATTTGTTGTTGTACAGAACTGTTATTTGGCTTTTAATAGTTGAAACACATTCTTGTGTGTGTAAATAATACTTTGTGCAGGCTGCTTTTTCCCTCTCTTAGTCTTGGCATGTATTACAGAGGTGGGTATTGGCAAGTAATTTCTCCCAGCCTTCTACAGCGAGCACTGACTGAGGAGACCAGCTCCCTCTGCTCTTCCAAGCAAGTCCACAAAATACCAGAATTCCAGAGAAATGCTCACTGTTTTCAGAATGTATCTGTTATGAGGAGTCATCCATGGGCACTAGTCCTTGCAATATGAGTCATTATTACTAATAGAAACAAAAACACAGACCAAAGAAAGGTTAAGGAAGCAGAACAGATATGTTCTTTACATTCTGCTGGTTATGAAATGAGTTGTGGCAGTATTATGAAAGAGAGAGGGTTGTTGCTTATAATTAATAGAGATGTTTGGATTAATAGTGGCTGTTTGGAAACTTCATTCAATTAGAAAAAGTTAAAATATAATAATTATGCATAAAGTTGATGGGGACAGTAATAAGCACATTTAACCCTTCTGTACTGAATTTTTACCTCTATTCCTTTGGCTGCGTGCTCTTGTAATTGGCTTTCCTTCATACTTTTGCATTTGAGAAGCATTTAACCTTCCCTATTTGGCTACGTAAGGCTCAAAATCCAGCAAGGAACTGGCTTGATTCCTGGCTTTTCCCTGCAGTCCCTCCTGAACAATGCTCTAAATCCTACTTAGTGTGTCACCCTGCACTTTACTGGTCTGGTGGCCCCTGGAGCCATCCAAAACTCTCATCTCTCTCCCTCATCACCCGGGGTACCACCCAAAAGGTGAAAGCGTTCACAGCATGATGACAGGCCAGCTTTACACATCATCTTCCAGCTCAGATTTAATTAAACAGGTTTCTTTCTTCCTCTCTTTTTCTCTTTCTCCTTCTCGCTCTCTTCTCCCCCCAGTTCCTCTTGCCTCTCGCCCCCCTCTCTCGCAGGCACTCGCTCTCCCTTGCTCTCTCTCTCTCTGTTTTATCAGCCCTAATGAAGCAGTATTCTTCATCGATCCCGCTGATTGCCAGCCCATTCCTTTTGTTTGTTGGCACCGAGCCATTCAGCCGCACTCTGACAGCTCAGCTCGTCTAATTAGCTCTGTTGTTCTTTTCCCCATGTTTCACCACGTTGCAAGTTCAGTTGAAGTTGCCACAAACTTAATCCTTCCATTCCTGCCATAAATTCACATTCTTAAGCAGTCTTTATTGTAGAGAGGAGCAGCCTTGTGTGGGGACTGATCTTCAAGACCTTAACATCTGACCTTTTTATAAGCCCTTTTTCCTAAGAAATAGTGGCAATACATCTCTGGATTTCTTCATCATATCTGCTGTACACCATTTCCTTTGAAATGAAAATTCAATACAATAATCCTGCTTCTGTCTTCTGCATACTGTTGTGTAGTGCAGAAACACGACACACAATCCAGTGGCTTTTTCCTGGCAAGAAAATTTGAGGCTCATGTGCCTCCAAAAAAAAAAAAAAAAAAGCCCAGAAGCACATTCCCCTGCAACAAACAATAATAAAAAAAAAAAAACCCCAAAAAAACCAACCATGAAAACTTGCAGAAATGGGGGGAAATGTGCATCAATTCTGTCATTGCAAACAAATTCATTAGTCGTCCAAAGAGCACTTATGTTTTGAGGCTCTAACAGCTTCCTTTGGATTGGGGCTGTTGAGGGAGCAGGAGACGAGGGAGGGCAGACGTTGAGGTGTGTTCCTAACCACATTTCAGGGCTTTGGGGATTTCTGTTGAAACCAGCATTCAGCTAAGCCAACAAATCAGGGTCCGTTTCGGGCAGGGTAGTGCTTTCTTAATAAAAAATGGAAAGCTTGTTTGTACAGCCTGACCCCGGTGCTGCAAATGCTCATTCCCACATTGGACTCAAAGGGCTGAGTTCTCCAGGAGGATCCCTCACACCGTAGGTAGGCACATGCTGCCCATACAGCGATCACCTGTGCTTATTCCTTTCCCTGCAGAAAGGCTTGTTTGCTTGGCAAGTAGATTAAGCTTGGTTTCTGAACCTTAAAAGGTGATGGATGTGTTATTTAAGATTGGATTGGCAGCAGCAGCATCTTCTGTAGAAAAGCTTTGGATTTTTTTACGGACAACAAAAGATACATAACATTGGGGTGATAATGATAGTATATCTGGCAAGGGTTTCTGTTCAGCTGCTGAAAGGAAGCAAATTTTTAATGAAGAATGAGCTGTGTTTTTCATGTTATAACATTTGTTCTAAGTACAATTTTTTCAGTGCTCCCTCACACAGATGTCTTCACTCCAGAAGTTGGGTTCCTATGAACAAGTGGACAAAGGATCACAATGTCAGAGCTGAACTCTGCTTTCCATTATAAAGTGCAGTGACACACAGGATTTTAAATTTTACCTGATAAACTAACTGTACAAGTTTGCGTTTAGAGAAGAATCTTATCAGAAATGTAGCCTGTACCAAACAGGACAGTGGAAGAAATTTTTGTTGCTTTGTTAATAGCTGAGAGTCAATGACAAGCATTATATGGTTCATTTGCTATTCAAAAACATGGGGATTTTTTGTCCTTAAAGAAGCTGTGGGCCCCTGGAATTTATTTTCTTACTTACTATTTATTTGTATATCTATATTCATTTGTAGTATTTTTGTGGCCCAAAAAAAAAAAAGAGCTTTAGAAGCAATTCCAAATGGAAGATACCTTTAACATAACAGTGGTTATGCAAATTTTGTTATTTATGTCTGTTGTTTGATCAGCTTGAAGTACCTGATGAAATGTCTCCTCTGTGTGTATGTAACAGGTCCGGCCGCCGAGACCTCACGTCGTTAAGAGACCCAAGAGCAATATCGCTGTGGAAGGACGAAGGACTTCAGTTTCTAGTCCAGAACAGTAAGTACTTTGCTGCTCTGCTTCTCTGCACCAACAAACGCTGCATTCAGAACTGGAACTAGCTACAGGAGAAATTAAAAAATACTACAGACCAAAGCAATGTTTTAACTAACAAAAAAAAAAAAAAAAAGAGGGGGTTATTTTTGGAAGATTTTAGAGGAGGTGTGAAAAAGCAAGAAATCAAAGTTTACTTACTGGAAAATTCAGGTTTGCCAAGTTAGACATAATCTGATCAGCCTGTTTCGCGAAAGTTTTCTGCTTTTGGATGTTTGTTCATTTCTTTGTTGTTTTGTTTTGAACTGTGCTTTAAATGAAATTGTTAGCCACATCCCTGAAAATCCACTGTTCTTGCCAGGCTTTACCTGGAGGTACATAATTGTTTGTTTTATAGTGATGGCAGTAGGGGTTGTGTCTCACGCTTGTTAGAGTCCCATTAACAGAAGGTCTGTAATGATCTCAGTAGTGAAGGCTTGTAGAACTTAGCTGGCTTGCATAGTTCTAGCAAATTTATCATCTCTTTAGATTTGACTATGAAGTAAACAGGGATAATGTTCCAAATAAGTTGTACTGCTGTAGCTTGCTGCTAGTGCATGAAGTGTGTGGGTTTCCGACATCTCTCTTGTTCACATGAACAGTATATTCTGTTCCCTTGGAGAGATTTTTTCCAAATAGTTTCACAAATGTCACGTATTAAAGTACTTTTTACAAGGAAGACAATACTGTGTATTGTTGCAGATATTCTTAATGCTTTGCCATAGTTGAGTTAAACAATAGACCATCAAGTGAAAACCTAAAAGGAGAATGGATATATTGAACCTTATTAACGTAGCCCAAAAGACACTATTGTGTGTGACAAATATACGTGTAGGCTGCATCATATGCCTTTTGGATTTAAAATCGTTTGGATTCTTCAGAGTGTAGCTCCTGCAGTAGTACTGCTCTGCAGAAGTACAAAAGATTCAAGAGCATGAAGTTCTGGCCGGATGCGGAGGCTGGCATTAGCTGCACTCTTGAGGGTTGGAGTGATCAGGTTGCCTCCTCTCAGTCCAGAATTTGGGAATCTCAACAGCTTAAGAATCTTAAGATCCACCTGGGGCGGATGATCTTAGAAAGTGTGATGGCAAACATGGCTAGGGCAGGGATGGAGCTGCCTGGTGCTCCAAGGAGACCACTGAGCAGCGGGGTAAGAACAGCAGGCAACAGAGCCGGGATGCACTTTCCAAGTTCTGAGGCAAGACTCAGCGGGTGTTCCCCCCCCGTGTCCTCCAACTGTGAGTGGAGAAGCAGTTTCCAAATGCCCAGCGTGGTGGCCATGTGGCCCTGGTGTGGGCAGTCCCCTGGCACTGCTCACCGAGGGGCCGCAGGGTGGTTGCACTGATCTCCCCTGTCAGAGATTGCCTTGTGGTTCATCGATACCCGCGGCACAGGGTAACTGTATCACAGCGTCTCTGCGTTGTTTGTGTCCCAGCTTGGGTGGCTTTATTGTCAGTAAAGTGAAATGCTTCAGCTGATGCCTGAGATTACGGGATATTTGCTGTATCTGAAGACACTAAAATCCCATAAAAAGAGGAACGGTCAGTTTCTTTGGCCACACCTTTCCCCCATAAGTGCACAGTGCTCTGTCACCGCTGTTTGAGGGCAAGAGAGGTGAAGGTTGGGTCCTCTCCGTCCCCCAGAGTTAAGAGCCTGCCCAGCATTTTGCCAGCCACGGAATCACAGAATCATAGACAGGTTTGGGTTTGGGTTGAAGGGACCTGTGCCACCCCCTGCCCTGGGCAGGGACACCTCCCACCAGGTTGCTCCAAGCCCCATCCAACCTGGCCTTGGATGGGGAGGTTGAAGCCACTGTAGGACGGGGAGATGGTCTGGCTACTAGCTAATATGAGTGGTCACTTTTAAATTCTACAGGATTATTTATCCATTTTATAGTGGAATTTGGTTGCCCTCTTGTGGAGTAGATTGCAAGTCTTGCAAAAGGGCTTGTGCGGTTACAGTATCAGGACAGAAATAAATGTAAACATGAATGATAAACATAGTGTTTATACTAGTGCTAGTAATATATTGAATTACAATGATTATTTTACTTTTATTGCTGTTAATTTTAGTCAGTCTTTACAAGTCAGCTGCTTTCATAGAGTAAACTACCAAAAAAAATTTGTGAAAACGATTAACACTAATCTACAAAAGATAATGAAGATGCTTTGTAGCTGTAAACTAACTTATTTTTATTCATGAGCATTTTACTGATAGATTTTTCCATCTTTTAAATGTGGAAGAAAACCAGGTAACATTGCTAATCCCTCTGACACTTGCTCTGTGGTACCAGTTGTGGGCTCTTCCTGATGAGACACAACAATGATGACACTGACACCACAGTTGTGATTTCAGAAGTACAAGTGGAGGAAATACCTAACCTTGTACTTAACTAAAGCTCAAATAAATGGCTTACTTAAGAGAGAACTTGAGGTGAATGCCTTTGAAATAGGTGATGACTCAGTAAACCGGAACTTCTTCTTTACTATTTATCTCAAAGTGTCATTCTGAATAAAGGGAAAGTAAGGCAGTAATTAAAGGTAGGATTTTCTTGACATTTTTCACAAACTTTCTTTTTTTTGTCCCAGTGAGAAACAATCTTTCTATATTGTTTTTAAATGAAAACATAAAGCCAGGTGTTGCCTCTTTAGAAAATTGCATTTTGCTCTCTCTCGGGTAATACTAAAACGAATGAAAACACTGCAAAACACCCTGGTGTTACTTGGTAGCTTGGAGTACCCTCATTGCAGGTCAGAAGAGATTCCACAAAAGCAAAAGCACTGAGAAGGTGCTTTTCTTAAAGTAAACTTAACCAAAATGTTCAGCTTAATTGCTCTGGTTTCAAAATTATTAATTAGGCAGTTACTTCTTTCAGGTGCTCACGTGTGGGATGTGTCTGTGAGGAGCTCCTGTTCAATGGGAAGTTTTCTTCTATATTTAAAACTAACACTTTTTGGTCTTGAGTGACTACACAAAGGTCTCAGGGAGGTTTCACAGGGTCTGTGACTTATTGGCTCAGACTGTGAGTTTTGCAGGAGGGGACTGTCCCTTGGGGCACTGCCCACTCAGCCTTCCCAGTGCAGCCTCCTCCCTTTGCCAGCTCTGGAAAGTAAAACATTCTGTTGGCGTCCTTTCAGTGGCTGTATTTATCAGTGCATTTCTTAGGGTATGAGGAATTTTGTATCTTCAGTTACACAAGTTAGTTTTTTTAAGGTGTATAAAAGAAAAACATTGTTTGGGGGCTATATGTGCTCATTTTCTAATCAGTCTTCAATGAAAAGGCAGGAGGGCAGGAGCGGTGACAAAGAACACCCAACATTGTTGCTGGTGTCAGCTTTTAGACCATCATATTTAGAAGAGCTGGTGGAGGAAATATTGTTTCCCCCATCAAAATTTGCAGTGAATTTGTTTTCTATTTTAATAGAAGGTTGGTTTTTTATCATCTTATCAATAATTCAAGGTTTGTGATGTTTATGATTCTTAAAAATTTGAAATGTATAATTTTTAAAAAACTTTTTAGTTAGAAGGTAGCAGGAAGAATTTGCAGATGAGAACTCGGAAAATGCTGGATTACCACCTGAGGCAATCCTGGACACGTGGGACATGCCTCCTTAAACACAAATTAGTTGTTCGCGGAAATAAGAGGTTGCATTTTTAGCAGATAGGCAGTTTTTTGAGAGCTCTCTTTTACACCACAGCAAGATTTCCTATTAAATGTAGAATAGGCTTCCAGAGCGCTCTAAGATCTGTCTTCTCTAAGTAGGGACTAGCTGGCTTCCAGGGCATGCAGAGTGGGAGGAAATTAAAATAGGAAATCAGAGGGTCAGGCTCACAATTAACAGCATGTCAAAAGGCTCTTGGGCTGGCTAAACCCATGTCAGTGCTGCAGCAGTTCATTAGGGCTTTCCAGAAGTCGTGTAGGACTTGGGAGAGAAGCTAATGGCCTTCCCTTGTATCCTATGAATGAAAATGGGCTGCGGTGCAATAGCGGGTTATTACACTGAATTTAGTCTGAAGCCAGCGTGACGGCTGCGGTAAATGATACAGGCTCATAAAGCGCATTAAGCCCAGTTGTTGTAACCAGGCTCTCAGAGCTCTGCCACACAGAATTTGCGTGTGGCAAAGGTTTTCCATGGCATCGTGGCAAGCAGGATGTTGGGCAGAAAGCCCAGGCAGCATGTAGCTGTTTGGCCAGGGGTTTTGTTGCCGGCATCGCCAAACAAGAGCCCCAGCAGAGGCAGGCAGGGCTGTGCCCGAGTCCCGGCGTCCTGACGCTCCCTCCCTCCCTCCCTCCCGCTGCGTTGGGCTGCAGGAAACTGGAATTTTGAGCCTTATTTCTGCTGTCTGCTTTGGGGCAAACCTACTGAACCTCCACGGCCTGGCTTTGTACAGAGGTGTGAGATCGGCCAGGGATGTGTGTGAGCAGACCCTTGGAACTGAGAAACAGGACAAAAATGTGAAAGGATTTTGTAGAATCTTGCATCCAGATCTGTCAGAGCAGGCAGAGATGTCAGCCAGCTTGTTCCCGCTTTAAATTCTTTGTTAATTTTTCCAGCTCTAGAAGATTTGTAAAAAGTTTATTACAACTATAAAACAGTCACCTGCCTTTAGTGGGTGTAACGATCCCAAGCTGTTGGGTTTGTTGTCTGGTTGGATGACTCAAGATAGGAATTTTTTGGTTGTTTTAATTTCAAATATCCTTTATGCTAATATTTTTGTTTTTCTGGACATACTCTGCTCCTATGAACATTCAGAGTATACAAAGTAAGACTTGAAAAATGAAATAGATATTTTAATATTCTTGTTAGCTCACACTCGGGCGTGCTGAGTGTTCAGAATATGCAGGAAGGAATTCCAGTGAAGGTCTGTGCTTTCTTCAGATTGAATAGTTCCTGGGTAATCCCCCAGTCCCAACTCTCCTATTTCATACTGGCAAGAAAAAGCCCGTGCATCCAAATCCCTCATTC